TTTTTAGGTCGCTTATTAGGTCACCTCCCGTTGTCAGAACCAGGTCAAGCAGCACTTTACCTCTCATGTATGAGGTATGAATTTAAGCAGTTTGGAGGAAATACTAGCACAGAAACATTACAGACCAGCACCACTGAAGTACATTTTGTTCAAAAGAAAAAAAAGGAAACAAGGATTCTAAAACTGTTAGAAGCTGATGTCATTGAGGACTTGTAGATATCTTCAGAGACAAGACAGGGCAAAACAAAGCACACCAATTTCATTCCAGGTCCCCAGAACTGCCATGAAGATTAAACTGTGTATAACTATGACAAAAACAGTGGTTGCAGAAGGTAGCCTTGCAGTCATATGAGCTGGACACCATAGGCAAACACCTATTATGGAGAAACAGGCAACACCTGCTCAAAATCTCAAAAGGGAAGGCAATAAAGAGCACCAAGCCACACATTTCTCCAAGGTCCCAGGCAGCAATCACAGCAGGCTGAGACAGCTGATGTGTTTAAGTTTCAGGAGGTTCACAATGCCAGCACAATGTCACCTCACTGAACTTGACAAATTAGTTTAGTTAAAGGATCAGTTATAAATATTTGAATATCTATGCTATGTTGATGTTGATTGTAGCTCTGTTTTTCTAGGAACAAAGGACACGAGGAACTGTACCTTGAAGAGACTCTGTTATAAGACATAAGGGTTTTTACTGATATCTTTTATTGGACCAACTATATACTTGGGAGAGATATTGGACAAGCTTTTGAGTACAAAGTGCCCTTCTAGAGGTTTGTTTGTGCCTGAAAGACTGTCTCAACTCTACAGTTGGTCCAATACAAGATATAAAACCCCCTTGCCTCTCATACATTATGGACCATCACAGCTCTAACAACACTCCAACTCTCTGAGCTATGAGCCAACGGAACGGGATTTTGTTATACAAAGGTTCATCTTACACAATGCTGATGAGTTGGGACTCAAAGACAGAATGAAACAGATCTCTGTCGGACTTTGTGGCTCTGTGTGATTTCTGAACAATACACACAGAAAGCAGTCTAATGAGGGATTTTATGTGTAAGAACTCGAATGACTTGTCTATACCCCACTAGAAGTGGGTCCAGTCCCTCCCTGAGTGCCCCAACAACCCAAGTCCTTTGATGAGCTCCACAGTCAGAAGTTTACCAATGAGGCTGCTCTACACTCATCTCCAGCACCCGCTGTCAGGGCACTGGTCTGAAAGCGAAAGAATCCAGATCAGCCTCACTAGTGAATTTCCAGCACTGGAGCACATCAGCAAACATGGGTGCATATGCCATGTTCACTCTGCCTTCCCTTCAGGGATGGATAGAGGTGGGGTGCAGGTACACTCCACTTCCTTTGCTGACATTGCTGTCCCCTGCTGACCCAGGCACAGGGGAAGTTCCAAAGGCTCTCCTGCCTGACTCCAGCCAAGGGGTGCCAGGCTTGGCAAGGGACAACAGCGGCAGTGGGTTTCCTCTTTCTGCATCTGCTCCCTGTCATCCTCCTCCATGTCCCCTCCTGGTTCGGATCAGTTACTGGAAGGAAGAACCCACCCCCACTACTGCCACTGTCCCTAGCTAACACAGGCACCAGGGGAGCCCTGGAGCTGCTCCTGACCTGCTCCAGCTACTGGCTGCAGGAAGCAGCTGCCTGGGCTGCCAGGCTTGGCCAGTGGTGGCAGTGCACAGGTTTCTCCTTCCAATGCCTCCTTCTAGTCAATGGGAGACATGGGTGGGGGGCAGGAATAGGTGCCAGAAGGAAGAACCTGCATGCCACCACTGCTGTCTTTGACTGAGCCCAACTCCTGCAGAGCTGCTCCCTTCAGCCTACAGCTGGAGACAGGCAGAAGCAACCCTGGAGCTTCCCCCACCCCCCAGGTCAGCCAAGGACAGCAGGAGTGACAGGTGGGACCCCTCCTCCCCTTTATACAACCAAGGGTATTATGTGCAGAAAACGTCAAAATTATGCTCAGAAAAATTCAAAATTATCCTCTGGAGTGCTGGAAGCCCCATGTGGAAGCACAGAGCCGGCTGGCCCAGCCCTGTGGTATGTGGACTGGGAGTCACACGCCATGCCAGGCAGGCCAGGCAGACTCCATGCCTCCACATAGAGCTTCCAGCACTCCAGTGGTAAGCCAAATGTGGAAGCAAGCAGGAGCCCATCTGACCCAATGGTGCGTGACTCCATGCCTCCATGTGTGGCTTCCTGCCTGGCCCAATGACACACAGCTTCTGGTCTATGTGCCATCGAGCCAGGCCAGCCTTCCATTTGGGGCTTCCAGCACCCCAGCGGGAAGCCACACATGGAGGCACAGAGTCACACACCATTGGACTGGGCAGGCTTCATGCCTCTACATGCGGCTTCTGGCTGGTGGGCTGAAAGCCCCACATGGAGGCACTGAGCCAGCTGGTCAAGCCTGATGGCATGCAACCCATACCCACCCACAACGCCCCCCCACACACACATACCCCCCTTCTACCCCCC